ATTAAAACTACCTTCTAAGAATGAAAAAGATCTCACACGTATTTCCCTAGGTCATCTCGCTGTCCCAATCCCATTCTCGGACTTGCCCCGGGCCTCCCGGTACTCGGATTTCTCACCGAGGCTTGCACCAAGAAAATGACTCGGAATTGATGCGCGAGACTTAATTAAGTGATCATATTCGTGGGATGTAGTGACACCATTTGCCGATGGGGGAATTATCATGACGGAACGAGCGTGGGGGAAGAGACAAAGTCCGTTTCAACCCCGCAAGGTGTGTTACTATATAACGGTAGCATATCCATTTTTCGTTCTCCATAGTTGTATATACTTCAATTTGATTGCACTGCTCTCTTGTCGCTGACCAGACTGATCTGATCAATCGACCTAATATCCAAACTACCTTCTGATATACCCATCATGTCGATTCTCATCACCGGTGCGGGGGGTTATGTCGGCCAGGAACTGGCGGCTTCCCTCCTTGAAAGGACACCAGCCACGACGACCGTGACAATCACCGATATCGTCGAGCCCGAGATCCCAGAGTCAGCTGCACAGCACGCAAGCCGCCTCCGCTGTGTCAAGGCAGATCTCACCTCCACCAAAGAGGTTGACGAACTGATCAGCGCATCCAATCCCTACGAGACAGTCTACATCCTCCACGGTATCATGTCTGGCGGCTCCGAGGCCAATTTCGAGCTGGGCATCCGCGTCAACCTTGACGCAACACGATACATTCTGGACCGGCTACGCGCGACCATGCCTGGAGCGAAGGTGGTCTTCACATCATCACTGGCAGTCTACGGCCCTGCACCAGCAGGGTTCGTCATCGACGAAACAAACTTCCCACCTATGCCATCTTCCTCATATGGATCACAGAAACTCATCATTGAGACATTGCTGAACGACTACTCGCGGCGCGGATTTTTGGATGGCCGCTGCGTGCGTCTGCCCACGGTGACAGTGAGAGCTGGCAAGCCTACCCAGGCTGCCAGTAGCTTCGCTAGTGATATCATCCGTGAGCCCTTCCACGGCAAGAAGGCTATTCTGCCTGTGGCCAGGGAAACGGAGATGTGGATTTGCTCGCCGAACACTGTTATCAAGAACTTGATTCATGCGCGCGACGTGCCCAAAGAAGCATTTGGAGAGTCACGATCTGTTAACCTTCCTGGGTTGAAGGTCAGTATTCAGCAGATGTTGGATGCTTTGTTGGAAGTTGGTGGTAAGGAACGTCGGGATCTCGTGGAGGAGAAGTATGATGCTGCTACCGACAAGATTGTGCAATCATGGACTCCTCGATTTGATACTGCTCGTGCTTTCGAATTGGGCTTTTCAGCGGATGTTTCGATGGAGGAGAATATTAAACAGTTTGCAAGCCGGTTTGTATGAGAAGGGCATGTAGCCAATCAATAGGCACGGAATTGGATGACCGAAATTGACTGATCGGAAAATGAGGCGTATCGGGATACCTCTGCATCAAGCAAATCGTATTTTAACATCGTAAAGATCAATATAAACCACATATAAACTGATTTAGACTGTATTCTTGCCCACGTCACGAATTAAGGCAGAGTAAGGAAGTATTCGGGATGTCAAGGGCGGTTTGGAAAAGCGGGTTATGTAATTGGCTGAGCTGGGCGAACAATTTCAGACTTCGGAACCTCAACCTCAGGGTGTCTCCATCAGCTCTTTTCTCCATCTCTCCCCTTTTCCCCCTCCCTCCACCTATACAAGTCGTTATCAATGGCTTCTCGGCGCCTTGCTTTCAACCTGAACCAGGCTCTCCGCACTCGTGCGGCCCTGAAGTCCATCCAGCCCGTGAAGCGTGGCTTTGCGTCGCCGGTTGCTCTGCCGTCTACCACCCAGTCCACCACCCTCTCCAACGGATTCACGGTACAATCATACAACTTATCTCAATGACATCGCAATCTTGCTAATTCCCTTCTAGATCGCCACTGATCACTCGCCATGGGCCCAAACCTCGACGGTCGGCGTGTGGATCGATGCCGGTAGCCGGGCAGAGACTGACAAGACCAACGGAACTGCACACTTCCTTGAGCACCTTGCCTTCAAGGTTCGACCATACAAACCCAAAACTACGAGGCGCTTTTATCTGATGAATATGACTAGGGCACCAACAAGCGCTCCCAGCACCAATTGGAGCTTGAGATCGAGAACATGGGCGCTCACCTCAACGCCTACACTTCGGTACGATCCGGGAAACCACCCAACGTCTACCAAACCAAATACTGATCGCGACTACAGAGGGAAAACACTGTCTACTACGCCAAGGCCTTCAACAACGATGTCCCCAAGGCCGTCGACATCCTCGCCGATATCCTCCAGAACTCCAAGCTAGAGGCTGGTGCCATTGAGCGTGAGCGTGATGTGATCCTGCGCGAGCAGGAGGAGGTTGACAAGCAGCTCGAGGAGGTTGTCTTCGACCACCTTCACGCCACCGCTTACCAGGCCCAGCCCCTTGGCCGCACCATCCTCGGCCCCAAGGAGAACATCCAGACCATCACCCGGGACAACCTGACCGACTACATCAAGACCAACTACACTGCTGACCGCATGGTCCTGGTCGGTGCTGGTGGTATCCCCCACGAGCAGCTCGTCAGACTCGCTGAGGAGCACTTCGGTGGCCTCCCCAGCAAGGCCCCTACCTCCGCTGCCCTGGCCCTCACTGCCGAGCAGAAGCGCACCCCCGAGTTCATCGGCTCCGAGGTCCGTCTCCGCGACGACACCATTCCCTCCGCTCACATCGCTCTCGCCGTCGAGGGTGTCAGCTGGAAGGATGATGACTACTTCACCGCTCTGGTCACCCAGGCCATTGTCGGTAACTGGGACCGTGCCATGGGCCAGTCGCCCTTCCTCGGCAGCAAGCTCAGCTCCCACGTCAGCCACCACAACCTCGCCAACAGCTTCATGAGCTTCTCCACCAGCTACAGCGACACTGGGTAAGTTCTTGATAATTTATATGTTTGATAGAAAACACGCTAACTTGATATTAGTCTCTGGGGTATCTACCTCGTCAGCGAGAACCTTACTCAGCTCGATGACCTGATCCACTTCACCCTCCGCGAGTGGTCTCGCCTGTGCAACAACGTCTCCTCCGCCGAGGTTGAGCGTGCCAAGGCCCAGCTTAAGGCTTCCATCCTCCTTTCTCTTGATGGCACCACCGCTGTCGCTGAGGATATCGGCCGCCAGATCATCACCACTGGTCGCCGCCTGAGCGCCGAGGATATTGAGCGTACTGTCAACCAGATCACCGAGAAGGACGTTATGGACTTCGCTACCCGCAAGCTGTGGGATCAGGACCTCGCCATGAGCGCTGTCGGTAGCATCGAGGGTATCCTCGACTACCAGCGCATCCGTGGAGACATGTCCCGCATGATCTCTTAAGTTGCTTTAGAGTATGATCGCGTGTGAAGATAGCTGCTGAATGCTCCAGGAAAACTGGGGTTTTTGGCGGCTTTGATTTGAATGTACTATCAATCATTGCCTTGGGCTGTTAGATCCCAAATTCGTGTGTGAAATAGCAATTAATGGTTTGCCATAGTAGACTATATAGTTTGCTGCCTTTGCAGCAAACATACCAATTATCTCCTTTGTTTGTTCTATTTCTTCCAGTGCACTGGTTGTTTCCTTTTTAGTGTATTGCCGTTGCCATCGTACTTGCCTCTGCCGCCTTGCTTCTCACCACCTTCTAAGGTTGACTTGTGTTCTCCTACCCAGCCACACATCCTCGTGCTTCCTTCATCTCACAGTTCTTCGAATTGGTCGTTCGCCGTTCGCTTACAAACTTCAAACCCTACCTAGGTACCTATCTAGGTACTTGACTTTGACGATTGACATCTATTCTGACTCGGTTCAGTTCTTAATCTCTTGTATGTGGCCTTGATCTCATTTGCTGATTATTCTGCATTGCTTTTCCTTATTGCTTTCTTCTAACTGATATTGATATTTTAGTGACCGAGATTCTCTCATCATGGCGCAATTCTCCACCCTGCCAGCTGAGTTGCGTCAGATGATATGGGAGTTTGCGCTTCCAGCGCGAGTCGTTGAGATGGGAGAACCGTGCGACCCAGATATCATACCAGAGGAAGACCTCAGACGAGCATGGATCCTTAACAAGAAGCATCCAGCCATTGCTTATGTCTGTTGGGAATCCCGCCAAATTGCTTTGGCCAAATCCAAGCTCCGCAGAGGTGTTATTCTTGCGCCGGATTCCATCCCAGACGATCGATGGTGGTGGAAATCTACTGACATTATTCATTTCAATGCTCCTCCTGATATCATCAATGCTGCACAAAGCTGCAGGCTGGCAGATGCCCTGCTTGACTTGATGAAAGTTCCTATTCTGCGCAAAAAGGTCTCTATCAGTGCGGACGTAGTCCACCCTTTTCTGCGTTTCCGTAATAGGTCCGATCTCTCAAGCTCCTTGGCATGGGAAGTAATTTGCTCAGCGAAGACATGCATTATCTCCCTACACACCGTCTGTATTCGAGCAACCAACGAGCAAGCTCGGGAGCTGGGCCTCTTTGGCAACGGCGACGAGCCAGCACAGTTGATCGACCCATTTGACAAGGCAGCTATCCAGCGATTCAGACAGCTCTGGAACAACACAAAAAAAGAGGTATCGTCAATCAAGTTCTTCGAAACAATCGACACCGAAAGGTTCACCTTTCGACTCGAAAGGTGGCTCGCGGAGATGTCAGCGGAGTACATCAATTTCAAATGGACTAGCCCACCGTTCCCAACCCCAAACCCACGGGATCTAATTGCATTGCTTCGTCGATACCCAGCTCAAAGACACACCCCCAAGGCCAAACTATATCTCGCTGGATTTCCTACTCTGGAGCCGAGGATCATGTTTCGACTCTGCCCGCCTGCAGTGGTCGATCAGGTGATTACATAACCATCCCGCATTTGACGGGAGATTTTTTGTAGGCGATTTTGTTTGAAGTACACTTTCCTATAACTCCTAACACATCATAACAATGGGAAAACGTGGCGGCAAAAAGGTAATTTCATCTTTCATATGTTCTAATTGATGTGTTTGTTGTACTGACCGTGTCTCCTTTATTCCAGGGTGGTAGAGGCCGCGGCGGTGGCGGCGCAGGCCGTACGCGCTCTCAATGGCAAGATATCGCTAGAGAGAACGAGAAGTTCGAACGCTACTACAATGAACCTGAGTTCCTTTCCGAGGAGGAAAAGGACATTTTCTGGGCTACCATGCGGAAGGATCTTCCCAACAGTTTCCGTTTTACCGGTTCTCGAGGGTAAGTCACAACTGGACTTCTTTTTTTGCGATTCGCGCCGCAGGAAGTTCCAATCAATACTGACTGTTGGCTGACACTTATTAGACATGCGCTAGCTGTTCAACAGCGTCTTAAGGACCACCACATTCCCGAAATCACTTCTATCAAATACGAGGACGAATTCGTCGAGCCCCCACGCCCAGTTTCGTGGTACCCAGACCAGCTCGCTTGGTCCATGACCACTCCTAAGAATGTCATCCGTCGATTTGCGCCCTTTGCCTCGTTCCAGAAGTTCCTTGTCGCCGAGACCGACGTCGGAAACATCAGTCGCCAGGAGGTTGTCAGCATGATTCCTCCTCTCCTCATCGACGCTAGGCCTGGAATGACTGTGTTGGATATGTGCGCTGCGCCGGGCAGCAAGTCTGCGCAACTCATGGAGCTGCTTCACGCTGGCGAGGAAGATGCCATTGCGCAAGTCACTGAACAGATCAACAACGGCACTGCTGGACCCGAACCCCTTGGTCCCGAAGGACTGAACGATGACGGCCGAAGCACCGGCCTGTTGATTGCCAACGATGCGGACTACAAGCGCGCTCACATGCTTATTCACCAGATGAAGCGCTTGAGCTCCCCCAACCTGATCGTTACCAACCACGATGCCACAATGTTCCCCTCCATCAAGCTGCCTCCTCTGCCCACTACCGATGGCAGCAAACCCCCGAACAGATACTTGAAGTTCGACCGCATTCTGGCAGACGTTCCTTGCTCTGGCGATGGTACCGCACGCAAGAACGTTGGTGTCTGGAAGGACTGGACTCCTGGCAATGCTTTGGGACTTTACAGCACGCAGGCTCGAATCCTGGTTCGCGCCCTGCAGATGCTGAAGGTCGGCGGACGGGTCGTCTACTCAACCTGCAGTCTGAACCCTGTGGAGAACGAGGCTGTCATTGCCTCCGCAATTGAACGCTGCGGTGGCGCTGCCAATGTTAAGATCATCGATTGCAGCCAGGAGTTGCCCGGCCTCAAGAGAGCCCCTGGTCTGAAGACCTGGAAAGTGATGGACCGAGAGGGCCGCATGTGGAACAACTGGCAGGAGATTGAGGAGCACCGAGACCAGGAAGGCATCAATGGTCTTGCTAGACTTGCAGAGGGCATGTTTGCCCCCACAGGCGAGGCTGCCAACCTGCCCCTTGACCGATGCATGCGTGTCTACCCCCACCAGCAAGACACTGGAGGTTTCTTCATCACAGTTCTTGAGAAGACCTCCGAAATCAAGGCTAAGCCGGAGAGCAGCAACGTTATCCCCAAGGCTTCCGTTGCAGCTCTCGCCGCGGAGCTTGATTCTAGGAAGAATGAGGTGGATGGAAAGCCTCTCGAGAAGCTCGAGTCCCTGGATGAATTGGTTACTCCTGACCAAGACGCCGAGAAGGAGCTCGCGAAGAATGCTACTGTTGCCGAGGCCGCCCATCAGCTTCCGTACTCTGCTACTCTTGATGCATCGGCCCCTGTCTCTATCCCGAAGCGGGATGCAGACGACCTCGACCTCGAAGAGGAAGTTCCTGCCAAGAGGACTAAGCTTGATGACGGTAGCGAAGTGCTTGTCGGTGACCGTCCCGTCCACGTCCCAGCGCCTGTAGTAGGAACTGGAATTGATACCCCTGGTGACAGCACACCTGCTACCTCCGCGGCTACTACACAACCTTTCAAGAAGAAGGGTCCTCGTCAAGAGGAGCCATTCAAGTACCTTGATCCCAACCACGAGGAGCTTCTTCCTATCTATGCATTCTACAAGTTGTCGGACCGATTCCCCCGTGACCGCTTCATGGTCCGCAATGTTGAAGGTCTCCCAACCCGCACAATTTACTACACCAGTGCCTTGGGACGTGATATTCTTACCTGCAATGAAGGTCAGGGCTTGAAGTTCGTCCACTGCGGTGTGAAGATGTTCGTTAAGCAGGATGCACAGCGTGAGAACGTATGCAGATGGCGTGTTCAGACCGATGGCCTGAAAATCGTTGAGCCTTGGCTGGGCCCTGAAAAGTCCGTCATCCTGACCAAGCGGGAGACTCTGCGTCGTCTCCTTGTGGAGATGTTCCCTAAGATCGCTGATGATGGCTGGAAGGCTCTGGGCGAGATTGGCGAGCAAGTAAAGGATATCCCCATGGGGTGCAGTATCCTTCGCGTTCAAGCGACCGGCGAAGAAGATGGTCTTCCGTGAGATTCCCCCTTTCATACGAGCGATATTCATATCTTACTAACATCATCTACAGTGAGGCCATGGTTCTGCCCTTGTGGCGATCTCTCCATTCTCTGAACCTTATGCTTCCCAAGGAAGAGCGCCGTGCCATGTTGCTGCGTATTTACAACGACTCCACCCCTCTGATCAATACTACACAGAAGAAGGGTGGCAAGACCGAATCGACCGCTGAGGCTGAGGAACTTGCACTGATGGAAGAGAATCTCGAGGTTGGACAGGAAGCGCAGGATGAGGTCGATGAGCGTGAGACATACACCAAGGATGGCGATGAGGAGGATCGCTTCAACACCACTGTGTAAATGGTTTCGTTCTTATGCTCCTATGGAGATCTATGCTGTATCAAAAAGCCAATATCATGAACTACATTTTTTTAGGACCCTTTGTAATTTCCCTCCGAATGCCCGTGCAATATACCGGAGAAACACCGATAGGACCTTTATATGCACCGGCTAAATTCATACTTCCCCGCAACTTGCTTTTAATTTCGAGTTGAATGGTGCCATTAATATTGATATTGATATTAGTTTGATATTTCGGCCAAGAACGAGTATCTCTTTACTTTGTAGACTACTCCTTATAGCTCTATAAATCGAATAAAGGACTGAAAAGGAAAGTTATGAAGAACAGATATTAGGCACATCTGCCATCTGATATGTGGAAAAATAGGCCCCGCAAGGTCTGGGGATCTTCGGACCGGTTACCGTGTGAGGCTTGGGATGGGCCCCAGGACTTTTGGCTATATTCTTGCAATATATCCATAATTGTCTATAAGTGAATAATTGGTTTACCTAGAATCTGTTGGATGTGCTTGACATCAAAGATCTCAACTACGTAGAACCATTGGAATACTTTATCTCATACTGTTTTAATTAGTGCATATCTCTTTTCCTCCCCGCAATATCTAATATCCTCAATATCCTCAATATGGCAAATATATGCCGTAGTGGACCTCCCGCACATGCAACACGGAGCATCCGGGGGACACCCCTAAACTTGTCTGGGGTAAATGACGAAAGCTCTGACTTGGAAAATGGGTCATTGCTACAGTACAGCAATTGCATGTTGTATTGTGTCAATGATGTCCCGAGTATCCGTACTATATGAATGGCGCAACCCCTGCATTGCAAGGAAATTGGACTTGACTCCAAGTGCTTCTTCTTTTCCCTAGCACTCCACTTCACCCCTTTGTGAATTGTCGAGACATGAAGCTCTCGTCCTCTTGGACAATTGCCTATCTGGCAGCCCAGGCTGCTGGTGCTGCCATTAGCCATTCTTTGAATGGATTTAGTATCACCGAGCATCCCGATCCAGTTAAGCGGGGCTTGCTCCAGAAATATGTATGTTGGGATTAAGTCTTGGATTTGGATGGTGCTGACAATATTTAGGTCACTTGGGATGACAAGTCTCTCTTTGTCAATGGCGAGAGAATCATGATATTCAGTGGTGAAATCCACCCATTTCGGTAAGTTGAGAGCATCAATTGGCTTTTTCCAAGAAAAGAAGTATGTTGATCAAGGTTTCTCTAGTCTGCCTGTTCCTTCTTTATGGATTGATGTGCTCCAAAAAGTCAAGGCACTAGGATTCAACTGTGTTTCTTTCTATGTCGATTGGGCTCTGCTGGAAGGTAATCCAGGTCACTATACTGCCGAGGGAGCATTTGCTCTAGAGCCGTTCTTCGACGCCGCCCAAGAGGCTGGCGTCTATCTTCTGGCCCGCCCTGGTCCCTACATCAATGCTGAAACATCGGGTGGTGGTTTCCCGGGATGGCTCCAGCGCGTGAATGGAACTCTGCGAAGTAGTGATGAGGCCTACCTGAAGGCAACGGACAAGTGCGTGATTCTGCCAAAATGCACTGGAAGCACCGTGAATACTGACATATTTAACTGTGTAGCTACATGGCCAATGTCGCCGCAACGATAGCCAAGGGTCAGATCACCAATGGAGGACCTATCATTCTTTTTCAACCCGAGAACGAGTACAGTGGCGCATGCTGTGGATACGAAGATTCTTTCCCGGACGGAGCTTATATGCAATACGTGGAGGACCAGGCTCGCAATGCTGGAGTTGTCGTGCCTATTATCAATAACGATGCCTGGGGTGCCGGCCATAATGCCCCTGGAACTGGCGAGGGACAAGTGGATATCTACGGCCATGACAACTACCCTCTCGGCTTTGACTGCGTTAACCCTTCTGTTTGGCCAGAAGGTCTGCCCACTGATTTCTATAAAACACACATGGAGCAGAGCCCCTCCACCCCATACGCTCTGGTTGAGGTAAGATATGTGGATATCTCCCGTGTGAATCAATCTAACTGGAGTATAGTTCCAAAGCGGTGGCTTCGATCCCTGGGGAGGTGCTGGGTTCGCCGGGTGTGCTGCCCTCCTGAACCATGAGTTCGAGAGAGTGGTCTATAAGAACAATTTCAGCTTCAAAGTTGCAATTCTCAACCTATACATGGTATGTTCCAACACTCCCATCATATTCGCCAATTCTAATCTTTGATAGATCTTTGGTGGTACCAATTGGGGTAACCTAGGCCACACCGGTGGTTATACGTCCTATGATTATGGTTCCCCGATCACTGAATCTCGCAATATCACTCGCGAGAAGTACAGCGAGCTGAAGCTGATTGGCAACTTTGTCAAAGTGTCACCGGACTACCTTCTATTAACACCAGGAGAGTTGACCACTTCCAAGTACACCACTTCGCCTGACCTGGCTGTGACCCCTCTGGTCGGAGGCAACAAAACAGCTACTTCCTTCTTCATTGTCCGACACTCCAACTATGCGAGCCAAACTTCCGTCGACTATAAGCTCAAGATACCCACTAGTGCCGGCCAAATGACTATTCCCCAGCTTGGCGGAAGCCTTACTCTCAGCGGCCGTGATTCCAAAGTTCATGTTGTTGACTATGATGTGGCGGGCACCAACATTCTCTACTCCTCTGCTGAGGTGTTTACCTGGACGACTTCTGGTAAATCCAAGATTCTTGTCTTGTACGGCGGTCCTGGCGAGCACCACGAGTTGGCTGTCTCTTCCAAGTCGAAGGCCTCGGTTATTGAAGGGTCATCGTCGAGCATCACCACTAAGCAGGTGGGCAAGGCTGTTGTTATCGGCTGGGATGTCTCCACCACTCGCCGTATCGTGCAAGTGGGTGATTTGAAGATCGTTCTTCTGGGTAAGTGCTTCCTCACACACCGCCCAGGTCCATCGTAACTGACTCAACTACCAGATCGGAACTCTGCCTACAACTACTGGGTCCCCCAGCTCCCAACCAAGGGCGAAAACCCTGGCTATAGCACCCAAAAGGCCGCCGCCTCATCTCTCATTATCAAGGCTGGCTACCTCGTGCGGACTGCGTACGTGAAGGGCAACGACCTTCACCTCACTGCTGATTTCAACGCCACCACTCCAATTGAAGTGATTGGGGCTCCATCCAAGGCCAAGAACCTGGTCATCAACGGCAAGAAGGCGCATGTCAAGGTCGACAAGAACGGAATCTGGTCCAGCAGCGTCGCTTACACAGCACCGAAAATCAAGCTTCCGGCCTTGAAGAGTCTGAAGTGGAAGTCTATCGACACTCTCCCCGAGCTCCAAGCTTCGTACGATGATTCCGAATGGGTTTCCGCGAAACCGTCCACCGAAAACAGCGTCACTAAACTCAGGACTCCAACGTCGCTGTTCTCCTCTGACTACGGCTTCCACGCCGGAACACTCATCTTCCGCGGCCACTTCGTTGCAACCGGCAAGGAGACAACTTTCCTCGTACAGACCCAAGGTGGCAGCGCATTTGGCAGCTCCGTATGGCTGGACGATAAACACATAGGTTCATGGAGCGGAATTGACGCTGCTGCCGACCACAACGGAACCTACACGCTACCAACCTTGAAGAAGGGCAAGTCGTACGTGTTCACCGTAGTCGTGGACAACATGGGCCTAAACGGAAACTGGGTCATCGGTGAAGACACATTGAAGGTCCCTCGCGGAATCCTCAACTACGAGCTATCTGGCCGCTCCGCGAGTGACATCACCTGGAAGCTGACCGGCAATCTGGGCGGCGAGGATTACCAGGATCAAGTGCGCGGCCCGCTCAACGAGGGTGGCCTCTACGCCGAGCGCCAGGGCTTCCACCAGCCCAAGCCGCCGACCGAGAGCTGGAAATCCGGCAGCCCCTTCGACGGCCTTTCGAAGGCTGGAATCAACTTCTACAGCGCAAGCTTCGATCTGGATGTGGAGAAGGGATGGGATGTTCCTATGTACTTTAACTTTGGCAACTCCACCTCGTCGGCGGCGTACCGTGCCCAGATCTATGTCAACGGGTACCAGTACGGCAAGTATGTGAGCAACATTGGTCCCCAGACCAGTTTCCCCGTTCCCGAGGGTATTCTCAACTACCGGGGTACCAACCACCTGGCTTTGAGTCTGTGGGCGCTTGAGTCGGACGGTGTTAAGTTGGAGAGTTTCGACTTGATTCATACTACTCCTGTGCTGACGGCGCTGGACGAGGTTAAGCCTGCGGGTCAGCCTAAGTATAAGAAGCGTAAGGGGGCTTATTAGGTGTTCAATGGCAAGTAGATAAATAATTCAGATGAGAGTATACAATACAAGAGTATGAGTTCAAGACATAAAAAAAGAGTAGTGTTATTTTTCTAATACGAAGTATAGCCCAATAGATCAGCGAACTATCAAAGTAGGGCTTCCAACTCCACTTCTCCGATCCCAGCCACCCCAACCTCCTATCTTCTGCCTTTGCGACATTTACTAACGAAGTACTTACATTTTTCTTTCCTCGAGCTTTTCAATTCCTTTTTAATAATATCTTCCTCCTACTCCATATTTCCAAAATCCACTCTTACATCGCATATGCCACCAAACCCCACAAGCGCATCTCAGCTCGCAAGCTGACCTCAAACCATCCCTCCGCTCAAATCGAAATATCCAAACACCCACACAATAATCTCGACATATACCTACTCTCCCAATCCCAGAACCAACCAAACAACCAGACACCATGTCAACCCACCCTCTCGAAGGCCTCGGCCTCGACCTAGACCCAACCAAACCCAACCTCAACACAAGAGATCTAAACCCAAATCTCCTGCACACGGACACCTCCCTCCAAAAACGTTACACAACAATCTCAATCCCCTCAACCTACGGACGGATAAACACCAGTCCGGCTGCAGGTACCGTAGTGGGCATCGTACTCGGCAGCGTAGCAGGCTTCGTCCTGCTAATGTACGTCCTCTTCCTAGCGGTGAACCCAGGGGGCATCGCGCGAGGCGGAGTTGCAGCACCAACCTCATCCTCCATATCGATGTCGATGTCTATGTCAATGGACGACGAAGAGATTGTGGAAGTGCGCAGTCGACGCGGGTCATCGGCCGGTGGACGGCGACGACGCGATGTGATCGAGGTCGCTGAGGAAAGAGAGACTTTCCGTGATAGTTATCGACGTCGGCCGTCGTCGAGACATGATCGGGTTGTTGTTGAGGAGTCTTTGGCTACTTCTACGACTGGGGAGATGGATGGGGATGTTATTGAAGTTGAAGAAGAGGAGTCTAGTGCGCCTTCTGATGTTTCGCCGCGTCCGCCGCGGAGGTCGAGGAGGGGTGGGGTTAGGCATGTTGATCCCCTTGCTTATGGTGGGGGCAGTGATTATAGTAGTCAGAGGTGATTGGGGAGATATTTGTTTTGAGGCTTGGATGCGATACCCTTTTTATGTGTTATGTATTATGATTTATCTCTTATTGATTGATGGTGCTGGGGATAATGGAATGGATATTGTTACGATGGATGATAATGCTTGTCTTGTCTTGATAATGCGCATGTATTTCCCAAGTCGTATCTACTCAATCTATAAAATTTCTTCCTACAGTTGTTTTCAGACTGTACTGTTGGCTATCGGCTGAAAAGGATGAATTAGGTAGAACAAAGTAAACCGGTTCGAGGAAGAGTAAACAAAAAGTAGGGTAAAGAATAGAATTGTAGTACAATTGATGCCAATCCAACCTTGGAAGAACGCCTGTCCTGTTTTGCGCCAGCGATAAGTAATAAAAGTCAAGGATATATACGAATGGAGCAAAAGAACAATTAAACCCTGGGACGACGTCTCAACCCAGGATTCACAAAGCACCAAATCCCAAGTCAAAAGCCACAGGAAAACGCCAGCCTCTATCTCTCGATGTTCTCAAGAGTGCAGCATGTGCATGGCATAGCGGTCGACAGCGCGTTCCAACACCAGCCAAAAATCAAACCCAGTAGCGTAGTGACGTATTAAAGACCAAGACCAAAAGTAGGTCTAGAACAAGATATCTAAACAGCAGCAACAAGCCATGGCAGCCATGATACCCGCGCAAATACCACCTGCACCACCGCCGGAGTTCCCGCGGTCATTGGCATAGTAACCTTGCTGCTGTTGAGGGGGGTAGCCCTGCTGCTGCGGGGGGTAATACATCGGCTGGCCCTGGGGGTAATAGCCCTGCTGCTGTGGCTGGCCATAGCCTTGCTGGGGTGGGTAGTAGCTCTGCTGTTGGGGCTGGCCGCCACCGTAGTAGTCGTTCGCGGCGCCGGGACTTTGGCCTTGCGGTGGTGGGGAGTTTGGGTAGTAGGGGCCAGCGTCGTGCGCCTGGGCGGGGTAGGAGGGTGGAGGGCTTGTCTGCAGGAGATTAGTATTTAGGATTTATATTTAAGGATTTGTTTGCGATTGATTGCTTTTGGGAACTTACGGGTTTGTTGTAAGACATGGTGGGAATTGAAGGTGGAGTTCTCGGGAGGTGTCTGGCTTAGTGCTGACTTGGGGAGATTGCGCTGAGAATGTGGATATGGGGGCTGTTTTCTCTGTCTGATGGGTTCTATGAACTCGAAACCCGCGACAGTAAGGAGAGAGAGGTGATCGAGATAGAAAGAGGAAGCGCCGGAATCGAGAATGCGTTGCAGTGGCGCAGTTCGGGGATTAGTCAACCAATTTCCAGGGTTTTCCACGTTCCAAGATTTCATACTTACGCGGCCTCGTTTATTAGTTTTGTACCAATAATGAAATTGAATAGCTTCATTAGAAGGATATACAGAATACGTCCGGTAAATAGAGACGTCTTGCTAGATATCCTTTTAGATGCTTGTCACTCTAGGTCAGACGGCGAAATACCAGACTGTTCCATATATAACTAAGGACATGGGTATAGTATATCATCTAACCCGACTCGAAATGACAGCCATTCATAGATTGAATTCATCTAGACATACAAAGACACGGCCATTATGTAAAATCACAGGCAACCCCCTATCGCAATCCCCCAAAGCAGGAGAAACTTCGCGCCTGTACGCCATGCTGCCCATAATACAAGGGGGAGACCAAAACTTTTTTTGTGTTTGTTGAATGTGAGTCAATGAGTAAAAAAAAATAACTCCGAAGTGTCCACTTCTGTAGCTGCTCTTTCTCGACTGCCAATTGGGTATTTCCTGCAGAACTGCATAGTATGGAAAGCAGTCATATCGGAGACAGTGAAGTGGACCCGATGCAATTCGAATTTGCGAGGTTGAGGCTCACAGGAAGCGGGCTTTTGACTCTTTGGGCTTGCAAAACCCCCAAATGAGAGAAAAAGAAAAAGGAAGAGAGGGATCTAGCGTCGGTCCATGAAGAGTCGCATATCAATCTTCTTGTTCCATTCTTAGCAACCTTGTTTCGAAGTTTAAATGACCCAGCGGTAACTGGCATAGCGACCCGCAGTCTCAGACTTGCGGATGATCTTAACGACCTGACCACGGCGCAAACCAAGATAGCGGGCGACAGGATCGGAGATCTGTATGCGGGGCAATTGGGACTCCTTCAGACGATAGCGCTCGAGGAGCTTGCCCTTCTCTTCAGGGCTAAGCAGGACGTGCTTGGGGACCAGCTCGTGGCGGGTGATGTTGACGAGCAGATCCTGTTCCTGGAAGTGCTCGCAAATGCGGCCGGGGACGCCGGAAAGCAGGCGCACGGCAGAGGGCGAAATGGGGGTCTGCGTGATGAAGATACCAGTGTGGAAGTTGTTTTCATCGACAAGATGGTTGAAGGCGCGCACTTGCTTGGTTCCGACACCTGAAGAGTCGGGGCAGAAGTCGACATAGATTGTGCCACAATCGGGCTGGGGGTTGGGGTTTGCTTTGCTGGGCAGCGCTGTGTATTTCAACTTCATGGTGTCGGTGGGGCGGGCTTGGATTTTCATCTTGGTGCGACTGTTGTTGCGGAACGGGTTGTTAGTGATGTGTGCTTCTTCAATGATGTGTGCCGGCATTGCTCAGCTCAAGTTTTCACTCTCTCAAGGCAATGGGACGGTGGATGCAAGGATTTCGCATACTCAGGGTAGCCCAGAGGGTCGGCATATTTTGCGCGGAAGTCTTCTAGCGGGAGTACCAGCTCGTTATCAGACACTTCGTAGCCCTGTGTCGCCGATGGTTAGCCATGGGTAAATGGGCATTATGGGAGAGACACTGAGAAGTCAGGGACTCGATCTGAAGTGCCTACCCGGTCAGCGAGCAGTTCATAGACTGTTCTAAAGGTGCGCCAGAGCCGAGTCATCTCGCGCTCGGCCTCCATGGAGTGTGCTGAATCCCCATCCATAATGGAGTGAGTAGTTGGACTAGATTAAAGAAAGAAAATAAGAGGTTATCCCGTCAAGAGAGCAAAGAAAAAAAACGGGTAGAAAGAGCTCCGGTGGAGAGATAAAGGTGAGAAAAATCGGCGGGAACTTTCTGCCAGCGACACTTAAGCGGAGAAACCGACCGAACCATTTTAATTATCTCAAGTTTCCCCTTTTTAGTTCCCTTTTGGTCTCGTTGGTCTATTTAATCCCTTCAGGTTCCTCAGAAGGCAATTCTTCCTTCTCTGTCTCTCTTTTTACATTCAATTCGTCGCAATGGCTGCCACTGATGCGGAGCGGGTTAAGCCCACCAAGCCCGATGAGGCCGCCTATAAGGCCAGTCTCGCTGAGGCTGAGAAGGAGCACACTGCTGCTCAGGAGAAATTGGTACGAAAGCCTTTCTTTTTTGGAATTGTCACTTGAGCTTTCATTTGACTCTGAGTCGCGGGGATGATCCCGACCCACTCCGATTGTTGATTGTTGATTGTCGTGTTCATTATTTACTTGCATACCATGTCCTCGGGCCAATGACTGATATGCGCAACAGAACCAAATCAAGGCCAAGTTGGACAACGCAAAGCCAAACAACCAGGATTCGCCCACCGTTAAGAAGCAGCAGGAGCTGCGCGCCGAACTCTCCGCCATTCGTCAGAAGCAGTCCGGCTTCAAGTCCAGCCGGTCCTCCACCCAGGAGAAGATCAACGCCTTGGATGCCAACCTCAAGGCCCGCATTACCGAGCAGAACAACTCTCGCGGACGTCTGTCATTCAAGAGCGTCGAAGAGATCGACAAGGAGATCGCCCGCCTCGAGAAGTCGGTCGACTCTGGCACCCTCCGCCTGGTGGATGAGCGCAAGGCTCTCACCGAGGTCTCCAACTTGCGCAAGCAGCGCAAGAGCTTCGCCGGCTTGGACGAGGCGCAGAAGGGCATTAACGACATCAAGACACAGATCTCCGAATTGCGCAAGACCCTCGACAACCCCGAGGCCAAGGCGCTGAGCGACAAGTACGCCGAGATCCAGAAGGAGCTCGATGCTATCAAGGCCGAGCAGGACGCTGTCTTCAAGAACCTGAATGCTTTGCGCGACGAGCGCACCAAGCTGCGCAACGAGCAGCAGGAAAAGTATACTGCTATCCGCACTATCAAGGATAACTACTTCAAGGCTCGCCGTGCCTACAAGGAGTACGAGGATGAGGCTTACCGTGTGAAACGCGAGCGCGTGAAGGCTGAGCAGGAGGCCTACCAGCGCGAGAAGCGCAAGAAGACCGCTGATAAGAAGCTTGAGGAGGCCTCGCAGCTTGCTTACGCCGACGAGATCCTGACTGCTCAGGGCCTGATCCGTCACTTCGATCCCGCCTATGACTTCACCGCTCTGGGTCTGAACGAGAAGAAGGATGAGGGCAGCAAGTTCCGTGCCGGAGTTGGCCGCACTGTTGAAGCCGCCGAGATCAAGGGAATGAAGGTCGTGCGCAAGAACGACGAGGAAGACTACTTCAGCGGTTCCGGTGGCAAGAAGGGCAAGAAGGGCGGCAAGAAGGCTGCCGCCCCTGCTGAGAGCGCCAAGTTCAATATGAATGTTGGTATCATTGAGGACTTCGCCAAGGTCAAGATCGATCCTCCCATGAACCAGGCGGATGTCCCCGCCTCCGTGGAGAAGCTGGCTGCCAAGATCACTGAGTGGAAGAAGAACCAGGCCAGCAAGACCGCAGAGGTAAGTTTCCTTTTTTCCGAGGTCGGTTGTGATCAGTTGCTAATTACCCCACAGAACATCAAAAAGGCCCAGGAAGAGATTACCCGTATCGAAGAGGAGGAGACCAAGGCCAACGCCCCCGCCCCCATCCCCCAGACCAACGGCCGGTCCACCGATGCTGCCAAGAAGCCCGCCCAAGAGAACGGCGCTCCCTCGGCTGAGGCTGAGCTGGCTCGGGAGCAGGATGCCGTGGCCGACGTTGAGGAAGAACTCAAGCAGGTCTCGATCGAGGAGAAGGCATAGATTCGAGGAGGTTATCCGTACATGCTCAATGCGTCAACTTATACATGAAGTCTAGCGTTTGTCTAGCATTCTCTCTGCGCCTTTTTTTTATTTATTTTTTGTCGTTTGGTTCTTGCATATGCATTATATCTAAGATTCATAAATGGACAACTGGTTGTTTCCAAAATTCATATAATCGAAGCCTTGTTATTTTATCATTCAACTTCCAAAGGACTCTAGGAGAAAGCCCAATCATTCTCTCATCATGTAATTATATTGAATTAACTTCCAACAGAGTCATTTCTCCGTATGCTGTAGATGTATGTAGATGGTAGTTGTAGGGGTACATTATTAGCAAGCCAGAGTCATGCCCGAGCCATTGGAAGTATCCAAGGGATCTCGGGAGGTAACACCTCCAACGCCAACGCTGATAATCGCATGAGGGGGAATAGAACAAGAATCAGTAAACAAAGAAGAAGATACAGGGGAATGCGAGACATATAGTCCCATTAACCAAAACGAGAGACTCCAGCCCATATACCACAGGAGACAAGTCTCATCCCAAGTCCAAGAAACAAAGAAAAACAGCCGTCACATCATATCACATCACGCTGCATAAAGTTAATGATCATGTCGCGATAACAACCCACCAACATCATGAAGCTCAACATTAGTATCGAGGGTTAAATCCGAAGAACCCGACACCGAAACCAAACGAGGACCAAAAGCCGCCGCAGGAAATGGCAATTCCGCAGGACCAGAAAGCGGCGGCCGAATCCCAAACGTCGTTCGCGGTACAACAATCCCAAAATCTTCCAAGAAAGCCCTACTCCCGCCCCCTCTCCGACGCGGCACGTTCTCCTCGGTCTGGGCACGCACATGACCAGACCCGGACTCCGGTAGTGCTCTTGTCAATAAACCGCCGACATCTGAGAAGGAGACGCGACGCGGCGTCTCTGATGTCGGCGAGATCTCGCGTGGGGACTGGCTTGTGCGTAGGTATTCGCGGGGTGAGATTTTAGGCTCGAGACTATCTGTTGTGGATGTGTGATCGTCGTCTGAGCGACGGGTTGTTGCGAATGACCACGTTGGATCGAGGGTTCCTGTTCGAGCGACTGATAGTGGGATCTGAGCTGGTGGGGCGACAGGTGCTGGTCTTGGTAGACGTGTTCCGTCTGAGGATCCTGGGATGCTGTATATATCTGGGTCTAGACGGATGCATAGACCAGTTGCGAGTTCCGAGTCTGAGCCCCATTGGTTTTGCATGACAGTGTTTCTGCGGACGTATGATTTGTCCATGCTTTCTGAGACGGATGCTGAGCCTTGTGCTCGTTTGTATTTTAGTTTTTTGACGCCGCGGTCTCGGACGAAGGAGCCTATGACTAGGACGTTTGAGACTGCTGTTGCGGCGAGGATTTCGAGGGAGGCGAGGAGGGAGCGGTATTGTTGGGAGCCTTTGTGTTGGATTACGGAAGGGACGCGGTAGGAGGTTATGGCAACCAATATCAGGGATAGGCAGAAGAGGATTGAGAGGGCGAGTTTGCGTTTGAGAGGCATCTGGGCCATGAGGATGATGGGGACTGGGATGGCGACGAGTAAGAGGTCGGTTATCACGTCGCAGGAGCCCATTGTTATTAGGTTGATGTAGCCGGTGCGGCAGGTTGGGCCTGGGTCTGGGATGACCTGCCAGTAGTGGTTGAAGGGTTGACATTCGGATAGGGTTGCGATGACCACGGCTACTAGGGTTGAGAAGAGGAAGAAGGAGATGAAGCGGAGGAAGAAGGTTGTTGACCGGCGCCAGGTCAATCCTGTGACTCGCTTTAGGAATTCACACACGGTCACTTTGGCCGTCCAGATGCTATAGTGGTGGGTGAGTCATTTTGAACTAGATCCAAGGTGAAGATAAGGGTGCATTATGTCTTACAAGATAGCGTAGAATATACGCGCAGCAAGAACCAGCTTACTGCCCAGCTCTCTATTCGATATCTCCTTCTCTGTCAGACCTGTGGTGGTGCTATTGTTGGTCCCCAATATGAGCACGAAATGCACCAGGACCATGCGAATGATCAGGGGAATGACGCTGATCATCATGACCTTGTCCTCGGTGAAAAAACGTTCAACACGAATGTAACGACCAAATAGGCGTACGACGATGATAACCAACGAGAATATGGTAGCCCACCAACTCATCATAAGTGTCGGATTGATCTCGCTTCTGGTCTGCATGTCTGGCGGGGTTTCATGATACATGCCACGGGTGACTAGCGACATGGCCATGGAGGCCATGGAGGCCATGACGAAGAAAAACAGCAAAGAAAAACAGCAGTCTCTCGCAGAAAGCGATTATCACAGTGCTTTACATTGCTCGCACGTGCCAGAGTGTGTGGGGTTAACGGTTATGGGGCGAATTGCGGAGACTAAGATGAAGGTGACGATCCTGAGATCTCAGAGATGGTAGATGGGTACTTCGTAATAAGTCGGGAGATATAGGGGAATTAATAAATTAATAGGTTTCAAGTGGAAAACCTTGAGAGAGGGGAACTCGAGAAGATAAGCCCATATGATCAGAGGACCACTGACATTCAACTGGCTAATCTGAGATATTCATATCACATTTGGTATTAAGCGTCTCACTTATGCGGTGAGCGCGTAACACGTCTAAAGAAAACGTCCACAATAACATTATGAACATTGACATTATAGGGGTACGGGGTACGGGGTACGGAGTACCAGGTTCCTTGTTAGTAACGGAGGGGAACGGCCTTGGCTTTCAACAGTTTTAGTATAATGATACTTTTAATATGGACTTCCCATGGCTACTCAGGGCTACTCGTCACACGTGGACTATTACTTGTTTCGAGATAAAGCCAAGGTTGTGCTACGTTGCATCCCCTAAACATATGGGATATATAAGATAAGCGAGTTAACAGTATATATATATTCTATCTTTTAGCCCCCAATAGTGAAATGTGACAATGTTATCTTCCCAAACCTTATGATCTCCAAGATAATTAATCGCGCAACCTTCATCCAACCACAGCGGCCGCCGAGTCCTCCCTCTCCTCCGAAAGCAACTTGATTCCAGCCCCAGCACGCAACTCTCCCAAAACAGTCCGTAACTCCTGAAGGAATTTGGTAACCTCCGCATCGGTACCGACCGTGATACGGAGACAGCCCTCACACCCAAGCTCCTTCCCACGGAAGCGGACCACTACACCGCGCTTCTCCGCCATGGCCTCATAAGCAGCAAGCGCAGTCACGTTATTGGGTCGGCCCTCGGCGTCCAGGATCTGCACGAGCAAGAAGTTCGCGTCGCTGCCGCCAAGGAACTGACCCACACCGGGGATCGCCGGTAGCTCACGGAGCAGACGATCGCGTTGCGCGATGATCTGCGAACGGAACCTGTGCATCACCTTTAGATTTGGCGCGGTGAGTGCCGCCGAAGCAAGCGCGCTTGTCGGGCTGGAGATGTTATAAGGGGCTTTGAGGCTGTTGAGGAGACGGGCCACCTCCACGCTGGCGTAGGCCACGCCGAGGCGGATACCAGCCAGACCAAAGGCCTTGCTGAGGGTCTGCATGACAACTAGGTTGGGCCATTCGGTCACCCACTCTGCCAGGCTGGAGCCTTCGGGCGCAAAGTCGATATACGCCTCGTCGACCACCACGATACCGTTCCAGGTCGGGTGCTCGAGTACCTTGCGGATATCCTCTTTGCGGATCAGATTCGCGGTCGGGTTGCCTGGCGAGCAGATGTAGGCCAACTTGATTGATGGGTCGGCTGATAGGGCCTCGTTGACTTTATCGGCTTGTAGGTGGAAGCCGTTTGTAGTGTCTAGTGGTACCTTGACGATCTCGACATCGTTGACCTGCGCGCTGACGCTGTACATTCCGTAGGTTGGGGGACATGTGAGGATCTTGTCTTTGCCGGGGACGCAGAAGCAGCGTAGGAGCGCGTCAATGGCTTCGTCTGAGCCAACACCGCAGAACATGTGCTCGGGGAGGAGGGTCTTTGGGGTGTGGTGGTGGGTATTGCGGAGGTTGCAGAAGAGCTGCTTCAATTCAATCTGGTGACTGAGAGACACATTATTAGTCCAATTGATCTGGATGAGACGCGACTGTATAATTTCACTCACGGATCGGGGTAGCGGTTCAGGCCGAGGAAGTCAATCTCCGGATTGGAGGCTCCCGTGGCATTGCCAGTCTGAGAGGATTGCAATGCTCCCTCGCTGTTCAGTGCAAGACCAGGACCGAAGGCATTCTCGTTGGCGTCGAGGAGGACGTTCGTCCCATCATCTTTGTAGTCACTGACTCATTAGCTCGCCGGTATCGGTAATTCGGAAAGGGCAGCATACTCTCTGGCGCATCGGTATGGCTGCAATGCCAGGATATTAGGACGGGCGCAGGTGGCCAAATTAAAGGGAGATGAAGCCATTGTGGTGAGGAATGTGAGGTGTTGGAGCAGGGTTGGTGGGGGTACCCGGGGGGTTTTATCGGAACTCTATGAGTCAAATGCCGATCTATACACTCGGTACTCTCTACACTCTGAATCGCATTCCACATTAATATATCATAATTCTATTAATGGGAATAGCCTGCTAAATCTCTTATCTAGGGAATTATGAGACTTGTAAACATTAGCTCTGACTCATCAATCGCCAGGATCCCATGTACCTGAAAGGCTCTCAAATGTAGTAGAATATGATTTGTTGGCTATGGCATTCTGTATTATATTATCTGGTTAAATATGACAGCATAGTCAACCGCTTATGTCTTGTGTTTTTATGGTAGACTTTTTATATGCATTTTTTTCATAGATATTTTCTCTTCCTCGGTCTTTTAGCAAGATGAAAGGAGATACAAAGCATAAACCGCATGTCATTTCTATGTAAATAACCTGGGATATATCTAATGCAACTGCCATGGTACTCTACCTTGATGTAACCGAACCAGAACGTTCGAGACAGCGAGGCTCTGAACCAAAAAGCAAGCAGCAAGCAGTAAGCAACGTCGCTTGCCATTCAACCCTTCGCAGACATTCGTTTCCACCACGGCTTTTTTGCACCCTCGCACTGTGTTCTCTCCTCCTGGGGCATCTCCTCCTTGGGTTTATCCTCCGGTGGCGGTAAAAAGAAAGCTTCTGCCATCTGGATGACACAGGCCGGGTTATCGTCGTACATCTTCTTTTTAAAATCATCGACGAAGCCTTGTCTCTCTTCCTTAGTATACTCGAAACCTCGTTCGATCGAACAACATCCGCACGCAGGCGTACAGTGTCCAACCCCCTTGGTTCTTTCTGCTCCTTCGTGGTGGATCTGACAGCACCCACAGGTTCGACCACAGCAGCCCCCTCTCTTCACACAATCTTCGACTAGTTCTTTCCGAAGATACCAAGTTGTATTTTGTCGTAGGCTCTCATAGGACTGTTTGATCGGCCCAATAGGAAACATTGTTTCGGCAAGGTAAAGCTTATGCTGGGCCTTGTCACGTTGCTGGAGTAAATTTGTAAGCTCCTCGTTATATTGTGCTTCTTGACCTTGGCCTTCGTCGGCTATCTTTTTTTAAAACACGAACCTTGCTCTTTAGAGATTGTCCTTGAACGATTGCACGAAGGAGAAACTCGGCTATTATGATATCCACAAAGAGGCCGATATCGAAAAATCGGTTACCATAATAGAGTATGCGTAGTTGTTCTTTGTGCCCATCTAGGACTTTTGCGTAGCGTGTGTCTGGCTGCAATTTTAGCCCTTCAAATATCTTGTGAGCCCCCCAACTTGTTACATATGACATTTTCGAAAAAAGTCAAGGAAACAAGGAACGAAGTCAAGAAGAATGAAACTGAGGAAAAAAATTCTACATACATATGTGGTCATATATGACGATATACAAGAAAAAGAGCCATTCACAAATCAGATCTAGCCCAAAGTCTAATCCATCATGCCTTCCTAGGTGAGTAACTTCCTCTACAATCTTCTCTTCAACTTCTTTCGAAATTGATCGTGCATAGTCTTTCAAAGCCTTTCAGATCTGGAAACATGTAATGTTCCTCTTCTGTTTTTAGATATCCCCGTTACTTATATAGCAGGCCATCGAGATTCTGTTGCAGACATGGCCGTGGCAGTACTGTCACCCCTCAGAATGTAAGTCTCCCCCATACATGTGTTGAGAAGCACGAGAAACTAATTTCCACTCCTTAGCTTCTACATTCTCCCATTGGTACAGTTCATCCAGAGGCCAGTCTCGGGCCTCGACAGACCCTAGCCAGAACGCCCCTGATCGCATTGAAAATAATGCTGGGTGGGAAGTTCACCGCCGTCCGGCTATGTCTTCCCTCTTTTGAACACAGCCAACCAACTGGGCCTACTCCTATTTCGTCTTGGCTGAGAAGTATCTTCGGATCCTCGGGCAAAATGATCATTGGATAGAGTGGAATCGGGACACGAATAAGTTTGCTGGAGTTGTCTTGAATGAAGATCACTTGTGGTATCATTACATGGCGGGCTGGCAAAGTCCTCTTGAACAAAACCTTTCCCTTTCCCTTTTCGTGTTTACTTTTATTGAGATGAGTACAACAATAGTTGGCCACTTCCAAGGTTATGAGGCCTCATAATGTCCTTTTTTGGTATTCTTTTTCAAAGTCTTTTCAAGTGGCTTTTTAGATGTCTTCTCAGGGCTCTCTCTATATGTGTTTTCCATAGATATTTACTTGCTCTTATGAGAAACTATAATTCTCACGTAAGGACCCAATGGGCTGCTCACCGTAACCAGTACAGACCGACATCTTCCCTAATCCCGTCCTAAACAGGTCTAGCGCATGTTTAAGTATATACAACTTAGCGTAAACTCTATCTGCAAGGGGTTCGCCTCGAGAATTGCCCATCTACGAGTCAGCTTTGCGACTGCTCCGTCCATACTCATGAATTCAATCATGTCTACTGTGGAAATTTGCTCACATCTCTATCTGAAGCACAAAAACTACAGCGAAGATCGCAAAAATGATCCCAGCAACGATGCTGAACTCAATAAAGACCCCGAGCCTCATATTCGATGGCTGACCTTGATTGTACGAGATTGTGGTTGCCAATGGTGGATCAAGATCATCGTTATTGGCACATTGACTCATTTTCGACCTCCGAAAGAATTTCGTGACCGTCGTGATGAATTTACGCAGTTTGCCCGATCGATCGACTATCGCTCTCTCCCTCTCTTAGACGATACTCTTACCCAGATCTCGTTGATCATTTCCCAAGGGACCCATAATATTGTCAGAGTTCGACAGGGATTCGAGTTCCAAGACAATGCCTATGCAGCCATTGCATACAAAATGAATTATGAGATCACGGAAGACCCGAAGAGAGTCTTCTATCCTGTTTGTCCGTCATCCTCACTACGCAAAATTGATGTCAATCAGTTGCAGTCAAAAAGTGAAATCCTCGGAGGAGTCTCAAAGGTATTGCTTGAGAATCAAGCCTTTGTCTACAAGGAGATCAATCGCCCACTGTACATTCCACCGTGGGATACCCAATGTATAATGAAGGAACTAGAGGTACTCACGCAATTTCAAGGTTATCCGGGTATCGTGCAACTAGCTGGTATCGTCATATGCACCAACCCTTACAAAACCGACCCGGCCAGTGAGCGTCCCAAGGTAGTTTCTGGGTTTCTTCTCGAATTCTGGGATCTAGGTTCACTGGAGCAGATTCTTGAATCCGGTAACATTGGCAAATACTTCAACTGGAGAGCCCGGATGGTTCAGATCGGAGAAGCTCTGATCCACATGCATGAGTCTCATCGGTCCCATCTTGACTTGAAGCCATCCAACATAGTCATGAATTCAAAAGGACACGCTGCTATCATTGATATCGGCGGCAGCTGTGGATTTACGTGGGAATGGCTTGCACCTGAGACGGTGGAGGATTTGCTGAACCAACGGTTAACATCAATCAATGCCTTACCATTTGATATGCAAGTTCGGAATGATTGTTGGGCTTATGGAAAAGTACTTTTGGCCGTCGCAGAGTATCTTGCTGGTAGCGTTTTCGGTTACCAATTGATGGATGTTGCACGAGGCTTGACAGATGAGAGTCCTGACCATCGCATATCACTTGTGAATGCTATTATGTTGCTGCGCAAGATGAACGGGGGCGAATCCATACTGAACGGCCACTGGCTGGGATGATATGCATCATTTACTCTATACCATAGGATATACATCCAACTTGTCACCAGAACTTTCAATAAGACACACAGTATATTCTAGTCAAATCTCTAATGATCGACTTGGAGTATACAGCCCTAGGTCCATGGACGGGTGGATCTGATAAATGATTACATAATAACCATCTCCCCGGGGCCGGCCCTGGGGGCCCGAGGTCGGCCCTGAGTGCAAGGGCTTCCCAGATAGGTAGTGTCGAGATCTCAATTCACTGACCTCAATGAAAACATTTATGCCCAAGAATCAACTGTCTAATTCTCTATATTACGTGCCCCTTCTAGCACATTTCAACTCCTACAAGCCAGAGTCACAATCGCTTCATTCCTGATTTTATCATCTCAAACGCCGGAAATCACTACACTTGGTTTTATGCAAGTTCTTCGATATTGGTGACTCCTGCTTCTATAGTGAACAAGATGGCCTTTGAAGAACAATCAATTTTACCAGTGGACATCATGGAATCCCAATTGTCCACGATTGACCTCCTGATGGCGATGTTCCCGTCTCCAGGCGAGCTGGAAATCCCCGAATCCACAACACAGTGTGTCGAGAAACTCCGTGACTGGTGCGAGAATCCGACATCCACACCTCCTAGAATCCCTTCAAGTATCTCACTCACCGTCTGTCTACCAATTGCAGATGGAGATAAAACAATACAAGTCAACATTTTTGTGCCACTGCAATGTGATAATCCAGAGACACTCGATGAATCACCACCATTGGGATATTCGCCTCGACAACCAGAATGGATGTCCAGAGCCGAAGTTGCTGGACTCACTGCCTCAATACCGCAAGGCGATGACACTTTAGAGGCATTTGAATACATCCAAGCAGAAGCCAGCCGCTTTCTTGAAAGCAAGCAGTCTCAGACCGTGACCCCAGAAGACACAGACAGAGGGCCAACTGTCCGAGTCTGGTTTTATTTCCCGTCTCTGTCAACCCGTAAAAAGAGGGATGATATGGTCAACCTCGCACCGGGATATGCTCTGACGGGATTTGTGCTGGCGGGCAAGCCGGGCGTATTGTGTCTTGAGGGTGCATCGCCTGATATCGACTCTTATATGAGTTTCATCAAGACACATTCCTGGGGTGATATCCCTAGTCATCAGAAAAAAGTCAGCGAGAGGTTTCGAGAAACAGAGGGTGTTCAGAGAGTGTTTTCGGGAATGGAGGAAATTACTGACTCGCTAGGAGAGCGAGGTGGCCAGCGGGCCAATCGGGGTGATATGCAAGCGCTGGAGGCTTGGTTAGGGAGTAGAGGACTACAGGAAGCATTTGAAAAAGTTATATTTTAGGTGGTCATGTAGTCCACCCTGCATTCTGCATGTCTGCATGTCTGCCTGGTAGCTGCAGATGGGGTTTCTTTCAATATCAAGGGCATAGAACCAATCTCTCTGCCTCATCTTATGATACCTAGGTACACTCGGTATATAATACAACCTCCTTGTCTCTTTTACAACCCACCTATCAGGTATTTGTGGTACGTTAGGATAATAAGCAAAGGGCAAGAAACGAAAAAAAAAAAAAAGAATCTGTATGGTTTATTCAACAAATGAAAGGCTCTATATAGTCCGTATGTATTGGGCCCGATGAGAATTTTTCTGTCGATAACAGATATATCAATGATGTTGATACATGGGTTACAAAAACCCACAGCGCTATATGCCCCATGTCTGCAACCTAGGCTATTCGTCAAAATACACTTGAATCGCTTACTCTTTCTTTGTCTCCTTCGGCTCGGATGGCTTCGGTGCTTGAGTTTCCTTATTCACCCCAGGGGGGCTTTCAAGTGCTGAAGCGGCCGCCATCTGAGATTTCTTGTGCTTATCACGTTTCTCCATCATGTAAGTCCAACTCTTAGCAAGGCCTGCCGTGAACGGTGCCTTGATCGTCTGGACAGTACTTGGCCAGCGGATAGTCTTTTCAATAGATTTGGAGACCTCCTCCTGAAGGAAATCATTCCCGGCAATCCGTCGCTCAAACGAACCGCCTTGAGGCCGGCGAAGAACCTCATCCGCGTCCTTGCTCTCCTGAACCATCTTATTGAAATCGGCCCGGGGAATCCCGAAGCGAGACTGGTACTGGAAGTACAACTTTTGCCGGAAAGATTCAGGCAGACGGCGGACCATGTTACCGCGCTTCACCGGATCCATATCTTGCTCCATAGCCAAGATGGCGTTAGGGTCATCAATCCAATCCGGGTTGTTGCAGCGGGGGTCCTGGAAAGTGACATTTGGCAAATTTTCGATGAGTGGTGCGTAGAGCCGGCGGAAGTGCGCCATTTGTCCTGAAACAATATTTCGCACCTTGCTGGGGTCCTCGGCCGGAAGGGCCATGCGTAGATCTCCCATATAGCTCATACCTGCGATTGTGCTGTATAGCTCAAACTCGCTGAATCTTTCTGGCAGCAGTAGCAATGCGACTCGTAAAGCAGACAACAAGTTCATCTGGTTCGCCAATCGCACCTTGGGGTGGTCCCGCAAGATCTTGACGGGCTTCTGCAGACGACCGGCGAGATACATGGTGTCCCACTGAGTGAGGTCCCTACATAACGTATCCAGGTTCACTACACCATATTTGATCATTGTCCCGTTCACAGTGATATAAGGATGGAAGTAGACACCCGCACCGAAGCGGTCCTGTACTTGGGAGACCATGTACGACCCCGTGGAGCCCAATGCAGAATAATGATCACGATGTTGGTTCAGATTGATATCATGCCAATGCTGGGAGTATGACACTCCAAAAATGAAGTCAATCATCTTGCCGGACCCCTTTTGCATATTTTGAATGGCAGTGGGTGCCGAGGGGTGCAGTGAGCTGGACGGAGCTCCGCTGCCATTCTGCGGAAAGACGCCCGATCCATAGGCAAATGCGTATCGAATTGGTGCTTTGAACTGCCAAAGGATCATTCGCAATGCTTCCTTGAAATCCTGGTTTATGATCATGTGCTGATTAACTCCGAAGTCCTTAGAGGGAAGTTCCGAGAAATTGGTAATTGACAAGTTCGGATTCTCGTCCCAGTTCGATTCGGGCAACAGCGAAGATGAAGAGGTCGAGAATGAGGAGGTGGACGACTTGTTGGTGGTCACCTTGCATAACAGATGCGATGCCGAAACGCCGTTATTTGCCGAGCATCGGCCATTGTAGGGAGTAATTGAACGACAATTGAATGACAGACAACGAGCCGAAGAAGGAATAACGCGTGGGGACGAGAGAGGGGTGCGAGAGCGCCAGAGAGAGCTGGGTTTAGCTCCTCGAGAAGCAACCATCTAGCAGATAAGTTGTAGCGGGATCATCGGGGAGAGTGGGGGATCTGACATACTATTACTCCCGGCATAATTGAGGTTCGGACAAAAGAAATCGAGGCGCGGAGCGCAATGAGTGAGTCAAATCAAAGAGCATGAATTGTCCCGCATGAAAAGCAAATGAGTGAATTGAAGTGAAGCGAATTGGGGCGCTCCGTCAACATTTCCGGCACTGACGTACTCCCCGTCCTGCTCCCCTTCGGGTGCTGAGTAAGGGTCACGTGGACGCGTGTCGATGCGTAACAACCAAAAGTAAACAGACGCGGAGGATCAACAACAACGACTCTTTCGACAATATTCGCCTATTTCCTCAACAAAAAGTGCATTTACATGTCGGATACTGGCACTGATTGTCTCTGATTGCTCTGATACCTCGCCATGGGCTCGGAAATGGATACCTTTGCGGCCCGCCTAGCCAGCTTTGATATAGTGTTGAAGCCGGAGAAGCGCAGATCTTCCGGCACAAAAACACCCAAAGCGATTACATGGCCGCACCAGCGTCCTTCACCAGCTGAGGTATGTCATTTCTTGGAATGATTCCACGCGCGCATTTCAAGGTGATTGACTTGGTGGGATTCTAGTTGGCGCACGCTGGTTTCTACTACAAACCATACGAGACAAATCCCGACAACACAACATGTTTCGAGTGCCACCGAGCGCTGGACGGCTGGGAGGAGGACGACAACCCCGTCACAGAGCATCTCAAGCATGCGCCTGACTGCGGATGGGCCATCATGATGGACCTCCAGCAGAGCAGCTCCAACCCCGCCTCGATTGAAGACCCTACGGGCGACCGGATTACACAAGCGAGACTGTCAACATTTGGTACGGCATGGCCCCACGATGGGAAAAAGGGCTGGGTATGCCAGTCAGAGAAGGTAACGCGCGTCTCCACCGTACTCATATTCTTTTGGCTCACAACAATGATAGATGGTTGAAGGCGGATGGTATTTCTGCCCTACAGACGAGAGCAATGACCTAGCCAGCTGTGTTTATTGCAAGTTGTCTTTGGATGGCTGGGAGCCCAAGGACGACCCATTGTGGGTATTCATCGCTCTTTCCCAGTTAGACGTTTGCTAACTTCCCCAGCGACGAACACTATCGCCGCTCGTCGGATTGTTCATTCTTTTTCTTCGCCCAGCCGCCAGGAAAAAAGAGCAAATCCACTCGTGCTAAGAAAGCTCGGGTTTCCAAGGCGTCCTCTCGGCTTTCAACCCAATCCGTTGGCCCAGCTACATACGAAACGCCCGATATAGAAATGGATGACTCAATGGACCAGAGCACCATGTCCCAGGCCACCACAAAATCCAAATCTACAAAGAAGGCAACCAAGAGCAAATCAAAGGGCACCAAGACCAAGAAGGAAGAATCAGCGGAGGTGGAGGGCCAAATTGAGGCCGACATTGAAGAAGTCGCTCAACCGGAGCCTATCAAACCCAAACGCGCCGGCAGAGGGAAGAAGAGGGCCAGTGAGGATATCAAGGATGAACCAAACCCAGTTGCCATGGTGGAAAGAGAGCCATCGCAGGCGCCAGCAGAACCCCCAGCGAAGAGGCGAGCCACAAAAACACGGAGCAGCAGCATTACTCGCAACTACAATTACGACCACAGTGACTCCGCAATGGCAGATGCAGAGCCAGTGGGTGTCGCTGCCTC